ATAAAATAGATGTATAATAAATAAATATTATAAAACCTAAATACTTATTAAATTAATAATGTTGTTCTTAAATTGTCTACTGTCTACCATTCTACAATAATTATAACATATTGTTCTGAAAAATATTGTAAAATTTACTTTTCTGATACAATGCAACGGTACAGCGTTGTTAARATATCATAATACAGTTGCTATAATATTGTGTAAATATTTATATATTGTATGACGTGGTAAAGGCCCACGTATATTTGTAATTTAATAATTTGGATATAATATTATATAGTGAGCTCATGATTTTTGATTTATGGATTTGGTTCAAGTACCTACCACACGAACACGATAGGTATATAATATATATTATATCAGTCGAATACCTAAAATGTTTCCATTCGTTCTGCAATAGAATTTTTTAACCCAATTATATCACACCCTTAGTGCAAGACCTTTTTATTTATTCAAAGTATGGCAGTATTTCAGTTTTTTTTCTTTTAAATACTGACCAAAAATGTTATACTGACAAAAATCGATGCCACCGCACTGAATGGAATTATATGATAACGCTTGTTGCAGACCAATATTTTGTTATAACATTTTTGTGGTTTATGGTATATCTTACACAAAAGTGCCAAATTTTGAGATAAATATGCGTGATTTGCATAATATTTAGTTAAACATATTTTCTTCACCTATAGTAAATTGGAATGCATTATATTTTGTACTTCTTTTAAGATTTAAGGATTGTTACCGCAATTTAGTAAATACTAGAATAAAGAAACATAAAATAATGATTTTATTGTTATTCGTGATTATATGTACGGTCGCAGGATTATGAATTGTACAAACGATATGGCATAATAATCAGTCAAAATAATAAAAATATTAAATAAATATTAAAATATATTTTTTAATATTTTATATTGACTGTGAAATACTAACCTAACTGAAATGATTTTACTATTTTTCGCTGCAGTTTCTCAAACATCACCGACAACACCTTTGTACGTGGCATGGATTCTTTTGTCAGTATTTAAAAGAAAAAAACTGAAATACTGCCATATGTATATAATAATATAGGTATATTATTATTATTTTATTTACTTGTTTTATTTTTAAATTTAAAACTGACCCGGGCTTTCACTCAGTGGTTTCTTTTCTACTTTGATTTTACTACAGAACTTTCTGGGACTACTAATGTCTGGTGACRCTCTTGATAATGGGAGGGGGGTTGGAAATTTTCTCCGCGGTTTGTTTTGAACTTTGGTTTTCTGTGACTGTATCCCACCTGTAACCATTCAATTTTAGTCACGGTCATGCATACCACGAGCAGTTATGTTTTAATGGTCAGTAACATAAGAAAACGTGCTGGAAAAACGGTGTCGCAGAACGAGTCGTATCCACTAGCTGCGTCGTTTGGMTAATAACGATTTAATAGCAGGCACCTAGTTAATACGTGTGTAATATGAAGTTCCCATGGAAGATATATCATACATGCGTTATGCATGTTCGTTTTATTTTATTGTATATAATTATTATAAATGTATAGCCCAAGACTGCAACACACATCTTCGCCTCACCACCCGCCACAGTTGTTAGATTATATACCCATCATTATATTACATATATATTATGTATGTATATAATAGCAACGTGAACAATTAAAGTTTCGCGTACTAATGAGTATAACTGCGCGTTAATCACGTCAAATATATTTTGTATTTTCATATTTTATGGTCATATCTCATATGTATACATTATTAATGATTATAATCATTTTATTAAACATAATATTATATAAGTTTATAATATTAATATAAAGTTTATAACATTATATATCATAAATTGGCCTTTTGTGTAGGTACATAAAGCTTCGCCTGCAGCCTGCAGACAATAACATCATCACTATCTGTAATGCTAAACAATAGTGATAATATTGTCGGACGAAATATACGATATTATTTTACATAAACGACCGTCGAACATGAGACGCGTTGACGTCATCGAAAAGTCTCGGCATTGACGCATAATAGTAAACGGACAAAGTTCATTTCCATATCAAATGATGATAATAACGTCAATAATAACGTACCTATAGTATAATACAAGTGTTATAGATACTAAAAGGCGTGACCTCTATACAAACCCTTTCCATGTTTCACAGAATGAGTTAACGGTTAAAAATGATTAGTCGTCCGAATTAAAACTTTTCATCCAGTTTCCGAATATATATAATGATGACAGTTTTTCGGATCGGTGCGAAATTGGACTAGTGTGTGCAGTGAGAGTATGGGGTGACAGGGTTTAGAAGCAACTAAATTATTCCCTTCAAAAGTATCGATTCTCTCTATAAACGAACTGTAGCACGACTTTATTTTGTCACACTAGAAACGTTTTCCACATGAAAAATAAAAGCTACGACAACCAAAATTTATAAGTTTATTTGAACACTTGAATTGAGGTAAACATTATTATAGCGACGACATCTAAGTTCGAATTATTATTATTTTGTAAATTGCAATAAATTTGTGATATTTTTATATCTATAGAAGTSGTACCTTATTAAAAAGCACATAGGTTCATCTATCGTCGGGAAAACATAAAAATTGGCTGCGTGCTTGCTACAGCAATATTACATGCTGGAAGTAGGTACAAAAGATAATTAATAATATTCATAAAAAATATGAAACAATTGTACAGATGGATAACATAAATTTTTTCACATAATATTGACCTACTTATTTGTGTGCACGTTTATTGAAACGCAATACAGTCGAGTGACTAGTGATGAGTGTCAAAAAACGGCATTTTTAATTTTCATATTATTACAATACACTGATAATTCTGTTGTCTATATTTTTTTTCAACCCATCAAAATAGATTAGTGAAAACGAAAGAAATTTTATGTTGTTTCGGTGAAGTATAAAACATAAATAACATTAAATACAGTAATAGTGATAATAGTTTATTTTGTATTAATTTCGGGTTAGATGTTTGCATATTTAATAATATTATATTTGACAACATCAAATAACGTTATGGTGGCAATAAAGTCGAAAAAAACAGAATCTAACGAAATAATATTTAAATTATGAATATAATATAAATATTTTAACTATTAAACATAGGTATTAACCTTTAGTGTTAATGTATTTTTTCTTATTACTGCAAGACGTAATCGTCTTTGTAATATTATGCACAAAATATATAATAATATAATTTATATACAACAACATATATTATATATGTATATCAATGATGTATAACGCAATGTTCAGATTTTATATTTTTATTTTGTTTTTGTGTTCTCTCTCCATCGTTTTTTTTTCCTTTTAAAATAAGTTTTACTTAATTGTCATCAAAGTTTGGGGTGATGCTCCTTGGCGAATCACCCTGTATAATTATACAACTTATACGAGTTGCTTTATAGGTTTAAGCCAGTTACATTTATTGCTTTTTTTTTACACAGGATACGCGTTAGTAGATATCATAACGTACTGAATACCGTTAGAATGATAATCTGTAAAACCTGCTTGGTAAAACGAACTTTTTCGTTGGCGGCTGCAACATTTTTGCATAGTATTATAGGTATGCAAAAAATGGCTGAGTAAATAAAAAAAAATTTAATTCGTTGTTAAGTCAAGTCAATGTTCAAAACGTTAAGATATATTATATAATATGTTAATGGTTACCGAAAACTAATATTTTATTGAAATCTAAAATGTTCAACATAATATTATTATTATAACCAAACATGGTTTAAAAAAATGAACTTATTTTTTTTACTTCTCGCCAACACCCGGRTGGTCATATGTATACATTAGCAACTTTCACAATTTTCAAATAATTTACCATTTTGTTAAGAAGTAATTAATATTAGAATTGTTTATATATTATAGAATTAATTACTATTTCTGTTTGTTGTTTATACTGTATAGTTATGATTTTGGTAGTTAAAAGTTTGCATCTCTTGAAATTTAAATAGTTGAATTAAAACCATGAAATATATTTTATTTACTTAATATTTAATAATTGTTTTCCTTAGCTTTAATAAATCAAAGCAATAAATAAGTAAAAATAATTATCTTATAATTTCAACTACAATTAAAGATTCTTGTAAATATGATTTTAACCACCGAACTTAAATTGTTATAGACGTGTTAATGAAATATGTCATTTACTTCCAACGTAGAGTAAAAATCGAAATAAATACAACTTAAAAAATTGTACTTCAGAGTTAGAATTGGTTCGATGTTCACCCAAAATATGATTGATAATCATCAGGCGATAAAACTCGACTTTTGACTTTCCACTTTTCGACATACAAACAGACACCTGCAGACATGCATCAGGCTGATTATTCAAGGGTACAAACATGACGAAATTAATAGCACCCTAGGATATACTTGACGTTTAACTATACTCTCTCAATTTACATAAAGGCATATTTCAGTGTTTTTCCCACTAAGCAGTTGACCTGACTATCGTATATACAGCTATTATAGAAGAAAACTTTCTTCATAGTTAGAAGATTAAATTTAGACATAAAACCATTATATATTGATCAAAGGTTTTTGTATTGATTTATTACATAATTATTATACTAATAAAATTATACCTATATTGTACAACTGTTAAAAATAAATTTAACCACAAATCACAAATATTTTTCGGTGGAGTTGAATAGTATTAGAAATAAACGAACAGCTATTATAACTGACTATAGGTTATTATATAATGTTATTCATAATTCGTTGTTATGCTACGCCATCTCGCTATCTCGTTTTGTTGATAAAATAAACATAATGTAGCTAAAAACGTATAAGACCATACCTGCAGTGTGTTATACTGCACGGTAAATCCATATTTGAACATTTTATTTCACTCGAATTTTTTGTGTTGCAATTTTACAGGATTTACTAGAATAATATATACAGGCAGGTTCGGCGAGGAATATCTTTTTTCAACCATATTTATAAACGATCAACGCGTATTACACCAGAGCCATGTCGGAACCAGGACAAAACAAGGTTGATGGTACAAAATCGATGCCTTGCATTGAATTGACATCTCCTATATTGGATGCGTCGTCTGAACATTCGTTCGCGTCTTACAAAAGTTTCAACACGACATACGAGCAGGAAATCCAGAGAAATATTGAAATACGTCCAAACGTAAAAGCTCTGATCGACAAACACAAGTCGTTTCAAGAAAATTTACTAATTAATGCTAAAGTTAATGATCTTAAATACAGTGACCAGAAATTATTTTATAGAGACTGTGAACATTTAAGTACACCGGACAACGATTGTATACAAATGAAAGGTGACACGAAACAGTTGGAAAACGTCCAAAATGTTTGTGAGATGATAATATAATATGTAATTTATGTTTAATGATACTGCAGATAGAAAAATACAGCGAACGAATAATATTTAATTACATTAATTAAACATTATAATAATATTGAGTTGTTGTTTATACGATACACCTTTGATGTTGGCCGCGGTGTTAACTTATTTTTGTTATATTACCTATATTTAAATTAACGTTAAATAATCCATAATAATAATAATGGCTTAATATCACGGGTATTATAATTATATTATGAATAACTATTTTTATAATAAATACATCATTTTTAAAATATATAAATAACGATTATTATTGTAACCAAGTATTGTTTTTAAACTATATTCACAAACCTTGATTTTTTTAGGTGAATAATCATGTGTTTGAAACTTATACTGTCCATCAAATGGCCATCAGTCCAAAACCATTAGATGTAGAAAAACATGTAGTGTCAAACTCTGAAAATACAGATTTTAAAACTGGAATGCCCAAGTTAGTTGAAATTAAAATTAATAAAACAATACGACTATAAAAAAAAAATTTTTTGTGTATGGGCAGACGTTTTTGGCAAAACATTATTTCCCTAGTCAACATTAACAATACTTACTATCAATGTTTGAAACAGATAACAGACACACAGAAATTTGAAAATATTGAGGACTTAATGGTTCACATTAATTTGGCGTTAAAAATGGCTGGAGATGAATTTGAACTTATCGGATCAGAACTAATCGCCTCGTCCAATCAGTATTTGGAAAAGTTTGGCATCATATTGGACAGCAAATTAAATGAGAAATTAAAGAGAGTTCATCCATCGTCAAACAACGATAGCACAATGAATGCTCTCAGAATGGAGTTGGCTGAAAATAAGAGGTGCATGAAGATCGCTGAAAATAGTATCGCACAACTACAGAAGGAGAAAAAAGACTTGTTGAACATATTAATCAGCTACGATTCTGAGAACATTAACAAGGTATCGTTGGAAAAACGTCTTGAAGCTCAGAAACAGACAAACGACGAATTACGGGATTTAATTAGTACTATTTTCAAAAAGAAAATGCTAATATTATAATGCTAATATCACCTAACCAATAATATAAACAGCGAATATGAGTACCTAAATAAATGTTTTTAAATTATAGTCGACTAATGGTTTAATTTTCCATCATTATTATTGTTTTAGTTATTTCTATCATTCTAATAATCGAATAAAGTAATGTTATTTCCCTTCCTGATGTTTAAGCAGGTGTATGTTTAGGCTGCAATCTTAAAAAAAATCACGAACCTATTGTAGTTTAAGGTAATAAACGTATAGGTGATACCATATAACAATATTATATATTATACTATATTATTATGCAATAGAATAATTTTATTAATAACAAGTAGGATTTCTGATCATTACAAAATCATTTGACAAAAAGCCTAGGTACTAAAAACACATTCTATGTATACTTGAGACCTCATTTTAACTAATTAAAAGTATATAGGTACTAGAATTGGCGGAATATACAGTGATTCTTAAGACTAAACGTAATGCTATGTTACTCAATAGTCTGTATTAGATTGAAGAATTTCAAAAGCAATTTGGTTAAAATCTATTGTGTTCTAGATTTGAATAACTTGTGATATATTTTTTCCCTAAAAATGGATGTTTAAATTCAAATTTATTTACACTTATCCATCTGTATTATGGGAATGAATTGTGACTTTGGAGCCTAAGTTATCCGTTTCTTTCTTTCTAATACGTAATATCTCTCTGTTACTCTTAAACATCTTATTTAATTTTAATTTTCCGTTAGTTCTGTATATAAACCAATAATACTGAAATTATTTTACATTTAATTAGTGCATTACCTAGCGATAAAGTTGACATTGTCGAAAATCGGTAAAAACATTTAAATAGATGGTATTAATAATAGCCAGAAAACACACATGGGCAAAACAGAATACCCATGTAACGTGTGCAATAAGTCCTGCAATAGTAAAAGCCAACTGATTATTAATTATTTATTGAGTTACATTTAAAAAAAAAAAATTATTTTTCCAAGTATAGTTTTCCAAATTTTACGAATTACGATACAGTATTCATTGCAATGCATTTAAGTCGTTGAAGCTTAGAACTATTGGCAATGTAATCTCACATACCTATGTAGTTATATTTATTAAATAGGTACCATCATTGGTTAACCATGTTTAATCAAACTAATTATATAAGTACTTATCAAAGTAATATGAAACATCATGAAAAAGATTTTGAATATCCAAGAAAAATGAATTATTATTATTTTTATGAGCAGCTTATATATTTTTTTTAAATTACACACAACACTAAGTGTACCTCCGAAATCAGAATAATTTTTCAGATATACTGTAATTCAATAACTTACGACGAAATTAACCAGATGAGAAAAATTGATGTATACATTTTTGGATCCTACTATCTTGTTTTTAGRATTATCAGCTAGGCTAAGTAATAAATAATTAATAATAATAATAAAATAATAATAAAAAAATAATAAAGCTAATAAACACTAAAAAGTGTTTATCTTTTGTTAATTTTTTATTGAATTATAAATTACCTATACTGTCCATCTAATATTATAAAAAACAAGTTTGTTTTAAATTAAAATGTTGGTTAAATAAAAATGCATGATTAACATAGATTTTAATAAAAATTTAATCATTTCACTTTGATGATAACTTACTGTAAATAACTTTTAAATTTGATTTACGATACTGCATGTTTCAGAAGTATATGACGTAGGTAGGTAATTAAATAATTGTTTAAAGATAACCTATATTGTGTGAAAATAGAAACTCAACCTTTTTAATAAAATAGTAAATTATAATTATTTTCAAATATTTAGTTAAATTACTATACTGTGATTTGTCTATACTTAAAAGTTGTATGATTTGGAAGCGTCCCATAAGTGGAACTCAGCTTGGGATTTAGATTATACTTTCTAAATTGTTGTTATTTCTAAGTTTAATGTGGTAGGTACATATGAGTTATAATAATTGTATATTTTAATGATAGCTGATAAAGTATATTTTTTTGTAGTTTTGAACAAAATGATTTTTCAGGAAATTTTTGTCACTATTTTAATGTAAACCCCATAATCACGAGTCAAAAAATAATACATTATTTAAATAAATAATAAATGCATCGAATTTTAATAAATTTCAATATTATGACTGTCACAATTATTTGCCAAATATCTAATTAAATAATTATTTGCATGTTATCTATTCAAAAAGTATTTCATAAAACAATATTATTTGTATTAAAAGTCCCAACATAAAATTTATGGTAATGTATGTATATTATTATCAATATATTCTCAGAAATATAAGCAATCGTTGGGAAGGGGGGGAGGAGCAAAGTCAAAAGTATCTGAAAATACAACACATACTATTTTACAAGTGATAAGCTACGATTAATTATTGATATTAATTATAATAGCATGGGCCATGGCCCTTATCATTGTCACATTATTATAAATATTTCGTACAAAATAAACTCGCATCAGCTATCTACGTGGACGTAATGTCAAAGAAAAAACTATTTATGAATAATCTTCGATAATGAATAAATTATAATGAGCCGTGCCACCTAGCTAAGTTTAATGTAAAATCCTAATTATAATTA